AAACCATGGCAACTCTGTGTGTTGGATTAGAGATGCCTACTTCTGTTTGGATTGCTGCTGCATGCTAATCCAGGCAGGGAGCCTTTATGTGGAGTTTTGGGGACAGAGCTGGTTTGTGCATGTGGAAGAGGAAGGGAAGAGATGAGATGTCCTCAACCTCAAGGATGGAGGCACCAGTACTCCTCCCTGATTATTTTTTGGGGGATATCCCTGATTATTAGATATGTTCTAATAAAGTCAGTGAGCAGGAGCTGTGTGATAAAGTCCCGATGTGCTGAGGAGAACAGCTATTGCAGAGTATCGGTTCCTCACGCACTATTTCCAAGCTTGGGTTTCAGAGCCAGATCTGCCAGCAGTGCCATCGCTGAACAAGGCACCAACACCCCGATTCTGAGCGATGCTCAATGCCTGCTGCGTCTCTCTCCATACCGGAGCATTCAGCTTTTCTGGCCACAGAAGTTCAGGATTTCAGACTAACACTGCTCTGTAGCATCCATGAGAACAGCTCTGCGTCTCCGTGCAGTGAAAGCCTCCTGCACACAGCAGGATATTCCCCAAAATTCTCTACCAGGAGACTCTCCCTTGTCATCCTGCTGGTGATTGCTGTCCTCGCCGCTCTCGCTTCTTACGGAAGGAAAAAAGCTTCTGTAAACCACAAAGTGCAGTTAACCGAACACCTGTGCAACAGCAAGGAGCCAGAAGCAGAATAGAACCTTTGTTGTGTTAAGGAACAATTTTAATTTTTGCAGGCAAAAAGCATTCTTCGTTACGGTTACTTGCAGACTGGTCTTAATAAAGCGCAGCTCAGCAGAGCTTCTGCTCTGTTTATCCAGCACTGCAGGTCTGGGTGGGAGAAGCACCTTGGGCTGCACTTCCAGAGATCAGCAAACGGGAGCAAGCCTACACCGAAGGCACCACCTCTGCAGCCTCCCCTCTCCTCCGAGTTCCAGCTGGCGCAGGTCACCTCCCCGGGAGCAGCAAGTCCACGCCTGGGCGAGTCACCCTGGCCTGCCCGGGCACCCTGAACGACCCATGCCGCTCAGCTCCTCAAGTCAAGAGCTAACACAGGCTGGATGAACTCCTTCAGGTCGGAGTGACGGCCTGAGGAACATGCGTGGATTGCAAGCATCTGAAATTAGGTGAGATGAATCCAAGCCAGAGGTGAAGATCTAAATGCTTCATATTGCTGAGGTCCCGCGGATGCTGGGGAGTTCTCTGAGCAGTGCAAAGAGCCTGTTTCTACCCTGCTGCAGACTGAGCGGTGATGAGAGGGGACACACCACCAGCACACACAGCGTTGGGTGGCCCAGTGCCACCCTGAGATGCAACAGCCTGGACTGAGAGGGTCATATGCGGGCACCAGCATAGAGTATCTTCTTCCTTCCTTAGCTTTCCTGTACAAGAAAAGAAAATCTGTGCATCTACCTCAACCCCCTGTGTACTGGTTAGAAGAGAAGCCTGGACAGAATTAATCTCATCCAGTTTTATTTGTCAATACTGGAGACATGTCCTGGTACGCTCGTCACCCCGAGCTCCCTTCATAAATCAACAGGAGACAACACTTCCCAGGCGCCCTTCATCTGACCTATTTTAGCCTTTTAGCTCATGACGAAATGAATCATTCTTATTTCTCTCCTCTGACTATAAAGCAAGTCTAGACAAATAACTCAGATGTTGATACTTAAATCTGGATAGAGTAATTTCACTTCTGGGGTCCATATCTGACTACAGCTCTCTTACTGCCTTGCCAGGGCAAATCACTTCACTTCTGTCTCTCCCATAGTCCATCAGCAGCACAGGGATAAAACATTTTATTAGCATTGTAAAAGCACGGAAAATAATTGCACGGAAGTTTCTGATTAAGTCTAGGCAGAAAACAGCATGGCATTATAGCAGAGTTTAGGTTAAGAAATACAAGTGTAAGTGTGAATGTATAATAATAACCATTTTCTCCATGTACCAGTCACAAAGGATTGGGATTTTTCTCTAAAATGTTTTATGTTATTTGTCAACTAAGATGCTTGGTTAATAGTGCTACACTGACAGGCTGGGGAAGTCATTACTGCAATGCTGCTTAACCACTCTGACAAAGGCTTTTTTGGTGCCCTGTTAAGCAAGGGTGGATGCTAGGGGAGTTCCCCTGCAGGAGAGCCCGCAGCAATAGTGTTCCCCTTCGATGCCAATTAGCCTTTGCTTTGGACAACAAATGCATGGTGAGTGTTCAAAGAAGTGAGTTAGCATCTCGACAGGCTAACACAAAAATCTGGAGGACGGAGATCTGCTGTTTATCTTAAAAGCGTAGAAAAATGTGATAATTTCTGGACATTGTGTTCTTCCTCTCCCCACTTCTCCGTGCTTTGGAGAACACGGGAACTCACTCTCATTAGCGAAATGAGGAAGATTACCCCAGCTGCAGTGCCATGGACATGAGGCCCATTATCCCAATTTCCTTGGTAACATCCTCACACCTGGACACTCTGTCAGGGTAAGTCAATTAAGAGCAGCTTCACAAAACCACATTTCACTTCTAAGCTTTTCTTCTGGGGGGGGAAAAAAAAAAAAAAGGCAGCCTCAGCAATCTGACTGTACGTATCGACACGGCAAGGTCAAAAAGCTTCACATTAACGGTGCGTTTCTGCAAGGCCGGATGATGAACTTGAGGAGCTCTCCATACAGTTGTCATGTCTTCTCAATTCCCAAGCGAGCAGAAAGAAATCAAACTGGCTGTGAACAAACCAGACGCAGGCAGATTTTCATAGGCTACTACTATGCGCTCCGTCGGTGGCAAGCTGTGCTTCTTTTAGAAGAAATAAAATGAAAAATCATTACTTATCTTAATCGTTGCTAAGGGTTTACCATGCTCTGAGCTCAACATCTCAATATTAGCTCTTCCCTGAGAGCCGGACAGGAGGATTTTGAGGAGCACAATAGCTGAATCTCAGGGGGTCCTCTCTATTAATCACTGAAATGTATCCTGTTTCATTATCTACCATCAGAGTATAATGCAATTAGTGCACATTATACATTAGAGATATTTATTAGTCCTCCAGTACGTATGGATTCACCCTCAAGGCAGTGCGAGCCCATTATATGCCTCGTAACTTCTTTTTTGCCAGTGGCAAGGAGCTGGGTCGCTTTAGCTCTGCGGGGTTCCCTACTTGCGAAGAGTGTGAGCGTTCTCCACGAGCTTTAAAAGTCCCCATTAATTTATCATCTAAAATGGCACAGACGGGACTCAAAATGATGCCTGGAAGTCTCCTGAGCAGTCCTGAGGACAGCACGACGCGTTCGTGATGTTCGTGAAGGCAGCGCTGGACCCTGAGCAGAGATCTGTCTGTGCTTGTGCTTCATGTGAAAAACCACACGTGGTCGCGCGGCTGGTTTCAGTGCAGAACCACCTCAGATGCAGCACGTTTGAGTTTCAATTCTGAATTTGGGATTTTGGTATTCCCATCACTGTCGGCATGAGGAGGTTCGGATTTGAAATTCATGGATTGAAATTCATTCCAATAATGGATTTCTGGACCCAGGGAGCCAAAGCCCCCACGTTACACAGCCGTATGCACTGCTGCCACGCGCAGCACCCAACACACTCAGGGTGCTTTACCACCAGGTAAGCATCCTGCACCTTCATTTTATTTTTGTGGTAACGAAGGGAAACAGCGATTTTTCCGAGCTGCTCTCGCTATGGTTTATGGAAAGTGCTGTGTGATTAGCACTAATTGCCAGGCATACTGGCTGCCGTCCCCTCGCCCGCCTGACAGCAAGCTCTCTTACAGCCAGACCAGCCAAAACCACAGGGGCCAGACAAAACCAGTAACACCGGGCGAGAGCTACTGGGAGGGAGAAAGCTCTCAGCTCCACAGGTGTAAGCACAGCAAGGAGGGTGGAAAAGCATTACACAGTGACAAGTACTTAATGACTCTGAGGACGTTGATTGATGTACAGACACCTGCTGCTGTGAGATGTTTTACAAAGGGCTTGCTCAACAGGACTATTGTGCAGAACCTACTAAAACAGAGATGATGCCCATTGGGAGGAGCTATATAGTATTTTTCTACTGCAGCCTGTTTACCACAAAATTTGAAGTGGTAAATTACTCTGACACTGCTAACAGCTACAGCTGCTTTAACCAGCTGGGTGGCTATTTGGTTCCAGCAGATACCATCACATTTTTTTCAGACTGACCACAGGGTCTGGGAGATGCACTGACACGGCCTTGAATCCAAGTGTTTCCCTGATTTTTCTAATCATATTTTAAGAAATGGACAGACCAAATGGAGCAAAGCTTATGGGGATAAAGTACTAGAATTACAGTCAAGTTTCCACTCTTCAGTAGAAACAAAGATAAGGTTGTTAATAGTGATCATTGGGTTTAGAGAACATCAGTCTAACCATGATTAAATTCTGTTCCCTGTGAGCTAAGCCAGGAACTCAGCTGCTATCAGGATGGAGATATGGATGCATTTACAGTCCAAAATTGCTAGAGCCTGATCCCGTTCCTTATTTTGCTCTCAAAAAGACATTTAGGAGGACCACAAGGAATGCAAGTTCAAAAAGAAGGCAACTGCAAAAGATGTATCGTTCACCCTTCATCTCCTTATCCTTTACTTCACATGGTTTCAGTACCTTTGGAGAAAGGGAGGATGATTCCCCTTCTCCAGACTGACCTGGCAGGAGAAATCTGCCAAAATACAGACATCCCTGGTGGTGCCTGTGTGGGAGCTCGTCAGCCTGGGGCCTTCTGAGGAACAGCTCATCTCATTCTGAAGAAGACTGTTAGACTTTCCAGGTCAGTTATGTGCCCAGGGGGAGCTTATTTCTTTCCATGAACAGCATGAGGATCTAAGATGATCAGTACAAATGTAGGGAACTACAGCACAGACAGACCAAAGTTGGGTAAGACGCATCCATGTGCAACCTCATAAAATGAAATGATTCAGTTAATAGTATGAGATCAACACCCTTGTAAACTCTGATTTCTCAGAGCGTTTCCTTACCTAGGATCACAGAGAAACTTGGTCTTTTCACCTTCTTCTCTCCAAATAAGCCATTCTCGGAAAGAGGGATGAACAAACATTCGCGTCATATCTCTACGTTTGATAAGAAACATAGAAAGGTTCTCCATCCTCTGCTGAAAGTCATCCCACTCCAAAGTGCCCTCAATGTTACCTGCATTAATGGCCTGAAAAATATGTTCATCTGTTAATGGATGCAGAGATGCCACTGCCACATTCAAGAGAGGCATAACCCGATCAAAGGAAGACTGCGTTGGGAACTTCATATTGCACTGCAACAGGTAAACTTCTGACAGAGACACTGGCACTACTTTGTAGCTGGAGCTTTTTAGTACTAAATATCCTTTCTCTATGAGATCAAAAGTAAGTTTTAGGTACAGATAGGAGCCTTGGCTCAAGGTCTTGAGGTGAGAACTGAGTTTGCCAAACGTAGTGTTGTCCATTTTGCCGTTCAGTGAGATGTTGTTCTGGATTTCTGAGCTGCTGTGTATCCGATGGAGGATATATGCCTGCAGGTCCTGGTCTATGGCTTCATTCTCTTCCAGTCTATCCAAAAATATTCTGTGGAAGGGCAACAGCTTAATTATTTCCTACAAAAAAAGAAAAAAAAAAAAGGATACTCATGCTGGCAGTGTTTATTATTCACTGAGTAAACTTAATTCATATTACAATAGCACCTCTGAGACTCCTTTAAGACCTCTTCCATCAGGGCAAGCACACAAGATGGCAGTTTGTGCCCTCAGGACCTCATAATCTCATCTATAATCAAGTAGGTTGTGTGTGAAACATGACTGAAATGAAAAATGAAGAACACTGTTCCTAATACCGCATCCATGGATAGGGCTGGAAAATTCACACAGAGCAGTGCCCTTGTTATTCCTACCCCATCCCAAGCACGTCTCATCCCTTCTGCCGCCGTGTCAGAGGGAACGGACGACCAGATGACAGATCTGAGGCTGGAAGAAATTTTGCTGAAGCTGAGCCTAAGTACCTCCCTGGGAGTATGCTCCTGTATCCCACAGCTGCTATCAATGGGGAAATGCAAGGAAACATCAGGACAGATAACAGCAAGTTATTTTTCAGTGCAAAGTAAATGCGTCTGTCTGCTGCAGGATACTGCGACCAGGGATTCTCTCCTCTGCTGAACGCACTGGTGATGCTTATGCTTATGCAACATAAACCAAAGCTCATCAAAAGCCCTTCCAAAGGAATTCTTGCGTCATGGGCTCTCAGTCACTGTAAAGAGAGGAGAAATGACGCACGGAGCTGGGCAAGGCGGACTGAGGAGAAGCCATCAACTCCCCAATAAAATAAAGAGGGGGGAGCACAGTGCAAAACTAACGCTTGCACTGAAGACCGTGGGGCTGCAAAAGCCCTAATTAAATGAGGAATTCAAGTCATAGGGATGCAATTTACCTACAATTACAAAAAGATTTCTTCCAAATGATGTTTAATCTACTCCATTACTGAGAAAAATGAAAAGAACTGCGGCACATCCCAGCAGATAGCCTGTGCTCTCCTGGTGTCTTGGGGAGCAGCTGCTGTTCCCGGCTACAGGCAGCGTGCAGCAGCTGCCTGCTTGATGGAGCTGGAACCAGCACTCAGCTCCCTGCCAGGAGGACCACAGTAAATCAACCTGTGGATCTCAGTAAATATTAGCCAATCTCAGTAAAACTGCTTAATGGAGCTCGGTAAAAATGAACTCCAGAGCTCTGTGCTAATGAAAAACTGGCTAATAATGAAAAAAAAAAAGAGAAACACCGAGCTGCAGACATGCCTTTCTGCCCAGAGCAGCTGGGCCAGCTGAAAAGCAGCTCTGACCTGGCTCCCAAACGCATGTCCTGTCCCTCTGACATCTGTCTCCTCTGGGCTCCTGGCTCTGACACTCAGTGTGAATGTTTCCACAAATGATGCTGTAAATCAACCAGCTCCACTGTGAAACAGTTGAAAGAGCAGATCTGCCCTAACTGGGTCACTGTGTTTCCTTCCCAGCTTGCTCCATTCAGACGAGCAGTTGAGCCAACAAACTAAGGTCAGCTTAAACCTTATGCCAAGAAAGTGATGATGAGTGGCCAAGGACAGGCTGAAGGTAAAAACTGGCCCAGCTGTAAACTGAAATCAAAATAGTTAAGAATAACCCAAACAACATTCAGCTCAGAGCTTCAGCACCCGCTCAGGACAGTGTTCTTGGAGCTGAATAATATCTTGGCCCAACACTGACTCCTCCAGACTGAAACAATCACACCCTCGTGCTCTGGGTCACGCAGGAGGGGTGTGAAGATCTGAATTCCTTTGTCCTTTCACATGGAGGAGAGGATGTTCTCAAGGAGCACAGGGTGACAGATGTCAGGTCCTACCCTCCTATGCTCAGCAAGTAGCCTGTTAGCATGTGAGCTCTCTCTCACCTGAATGAGTTAAACTACTTGCTGATGAACATTTATTGACACGAATGATGCTGGATTAGATCCATTCAGAGCTGTAGAGTGAGTGTGGGGACACAAATGCAAATCCAAGTACAAAAAAGCCAAAAGGATAACCTGTTTTAAGCAACTCCAGATATCCACCAAGATCTTATTTATTAAAGCCCATGATAATGACACAGTTTATCACAATTCTTGGTCTCAACATACCTGTAGACTTGTCCTGACTGTCACTACCAGCTTCAGCCAGGAAGGGAATTTTCCAATCATTTTGCTCAGGAAGGATACTATGGTGTCTCCATAATCTGGTTTGTGAAATTCAGCCTCATTTAAACCATCAATTAATATAATGAAATCTTCATCGGGGATCTTCCTCTCTGAGAGAAAGAAAAAAGCATTTATTTGAAAGGCCAGACACGCGACTATCATGTACTGCAGTCACTACAGTGTTTTAAAGCATCATCAAATATTGCTAAAGAAGAAAAAAGACACAATAGCAGCACCTTTCTTATGATGCATTAATTGCATCGATACACAGAGGTAGGCTCACACATCCACAGTTTCAACTCTTATAAAATATGTACTTTAGTTACGACACACACAACTGTGATATCCCACAGATAAAATAGCTAATCAGCTTTTAAAAAATTACCTCTTCCACAAAGTCCAACGTTACTTGATGTGAATGAGCATCTTTCAGGTAACACCTCATTAGCTGTTCTCTATAGTTTTGGTATTAAATTCTTACCCTGATGGCAAGCCTGTCTTAATTTTTGCAACTGCTAAATGAAGGCTCATCAAGAAATTCACCTCCCCAACACTGCCAGATCCTTCCAGTTTTGGCATCTGCACTTCGGGCACTGGCTTCTTGATCAACTAAGGTCTGGGCAAGCGTTTTGAAACAAAAGCAAGCCTGATTCACAGGCAAAACCATTATCTGAGGAGAGTAAATCATCAGTCTGCATGTGTAGGGAATGTCAGTCAACATTCTGGAGGTTACACCCTCTGTTCAGCAGTCTGTTCAAAATAACTATGAACTTCCAGTATTGTAAAGGAGTTCGATAACAAGTCTGTAGCCAAAATCTCTTTTATAAACGAGTCGAGGGGATCAAGGACTTTTTATACAGGATTTTTTTTTCCTGCTGGTGAATACAGTAACCAAACTGATGTAAACAATGAAGTAAGTGTTTCTACATCAGATGCTGAGTGCTGAGTATAGCTTTATAACAAACAATACAATTCTTTTGCAGTTGAATCTTAAGCTCAAGTGGCATCTTCTCAAAGGTAATCTTGCCTCAAACTCAAAACCTGACATCTCAGCCTCTTGTTGGCATATGCCTTTAACATGTACTACAGATTCTGATCTGTAGGAAGTTTGCTCTCCTTTCTAAAGTACTATGGAGAAATCCTGCTATCAAAAAGCTCAATATTCCCAAGAGCAGGTGAGCTCTTCTCTTTGACTTTAAATTGCATCAGGAAACTTTCTATAAAACCCCAGTACAAAAGGTCCACCAGTGACACGAGCTGTCTCTGCGGTGTTCCAGGGAGAACAGAGACGCATAAACACCTTGTGCTCAGGGCTGCTGAGCATCAAAATCCCATCCTGTCCTTGCCTTACGTTACCAAGTTGCATTTATTTCCTTACATACTGTTAATATCCATATAAAAACCATGTACCCTGCATTAAAATGACCACAGATCCATTTTCAGTTAACTTTTCAGTAAGATTATTGGGTACATTAGAAAGTACACTTTATGACTTTCTGAAATCTTGGAGTGAATATAGTGCCTGAGTTTTATACCCACATCTCATGTTTCTCATAAAGCCTGAGAGAGAGAGGTGAAAGCAGGGAGTGGGGGAAGAATCAGAACTTTGTTCTCTACATATTATTTAGATTCCTTGAGATTTAAAAAAAAAAATAAAAAATTTGAGAAACATGAATCTAACTTTCTCAGTGACATACACCATTAATAGCTGTGCAGTAATTTTGTCCCAGTAGCATTACAGCTTCAACAGCACCTTGTAAAAGACCTGCTGATATATTTACAGAGTCTTAAATGTTATATATTTTAAAACCGATTTCCAGACACTGTTCATTCTGTTACAAACCACTTGGTGCAAATTAGCTTGCCAGCACTCTCGATCAGCAAGGTTTAAAGATGGGAGTCCAGATCATTGGCTCTATTGGAACTGTGTTGAGTGCAGAGCCCAAGATTAAAAAAAAAAAAAAAAAAAAAAAAAAAAAGCAAAAGCTTTTATATAAAATTTTTCCACCTCCCAGAATTCAGGACCAGATGGGGATCAACCTGCTTGGTATGAAGAATAAGCATCCTCTGAAATGCTCTGAATTCAAGAGCTGGAATACCTCCCAAGGAGTTACTGCAACAACCACAAATTATTTTTCTTTAGAGCAGCGGTTCCTAAATGCCTTTTTTTTTTTTTTTTTTCCCCAGGAGTGTTGGTAGGAAAGAGTAGCCATGCTACTCCTACAAGTGACATTTCTCCATGCCAGGAAAATCAAGTGCTGTCGCACTGTGCTGGCTCCACGTGTGTTTTGTGCCTGGTGGAACCACGTGTGTTGGACCCAGATGCTGCTGCTCAGATTTTGGACACTGTGTTTTGAAAAGCTGATTTAACAACAGGGCTTTGAATCTCATAGAAGCTGCATCTATTTCATGTTGGCTCCTACACTGTCATATGCAGGGTGGTAACAGAAAACTATCTGAACTATTTTTGCAGCCGACTTGCAGCACGCCATGGTAATAAACACCGTTTTGCAGGACAACAGGAGTCCTGAACTCTGCAACACTCTGATGGTTTTCATGGCAACGAGTAAAGATCTTAAATTTAGTGATTGTCACAACGAATTAGTTATTATCTGGAAAGGAAAGGAGACAAAACCAATGCTGCGTTACAAAAAGCTCTGGAATCTGTGATCAGGCTTGTAACCAGTTCCCCTAGAAGCTTTCTACAGGTATCTATAGACTTTTATGGTCTTGGCTCTTTTTGTCAAAGCTTCAAATTCTCAAAAGCCCACTAACTAATGGCAGGGAAAGGGAAAAGCAGTCACCTCCTGAACAAGCAAATCAGAACACATTGCCATAAGCAGAACTGTGCGTGGAAACTGTTGCTTGTTTTCACCTTCAGAACTGCGAGGCCAGATTTGAGATGTGAAAGGAAGCAAGAGAAGAGGAAGCCAAAGGCAGGACAGCATTTCGTCTACAGCCCTGAAACACACATCAGGAGGAGAGGGGTGGTTAACCCCTCACTTCCTAACAAGCTGATGGTCTACTCTCAGCTTCTCCAAACATCACCACTCCCCTGCTGCCCTTGAGACGGACGCGGGAGGATTGATCTAGGGTGGTGTTTCAATGCCCAGATGCGATTACGTGGCATGTTTAAAATCATAACGACAAAAGGTGGGTGGGACTCAGGGAAAGCGTAGGGAGTGCTGTTGCAATACCTTTGTGCAGGTTTTCCAAGGGCTCCAGGACTCCCCTGCGGAAGGAGGCCATGGGGTCCTGCACGCAGGACCTCAGGCTGAGCATGCTCTGCAGGTGGGGCTCGCGCAGGAGCTGCTCCCTGTAGGCAACGAACTGCGGCGAGCGGCAGAGCAGGGCGGCCACGTTGTGCACGAACTCTGGCACCAGGCAGGTGTAGGCATTATCCGCTTGGCAGTAGTGATAAGCGACAACCTAGCAGAAAGAAAAAGAATAACAGAAAAAAAAATTGTATCTTCATCAGACGCGAGCCGGGCGCGTTGTTGAAAGCAGCGGTTTTTGTTTGGGGAGTTTGATATATTCTGGCAGGTGGAGTCTTTAGGAGTACAGAGTGTTAACTACCTGTGACAAGAATCCATACGAATCAGTTGGTAAAACCAGGCACTGATCCTGAAAAATGACGGGACCTGCCACTTGAGGAATAAATGAAATTAAGCCGTAGCTGCTCACAGAGACGGGCACTGACAGCAGCTGACACATCCGAAACGCTGCGCTGAGCAGGGAGCGATAGGATTGTGCTCCAAGCTCCATTTAAGGACTTGGCGTCAGTAATAACTTGTGATTGTTTTCTTGAACTTATTTTTTATTTGCTGTTTTCAAATGTCAAGCTCTGGAGAAGCAGGCAGAGCGCGCAGGCTGAGCACCTTACAGCAAGGTAGCATCTGCGAACGACAGATTCCCCTGAACAGAGGGGAATGTCAGGCTTACTGTATGTTACTCATCCACTGTGATCCTGCTCTTCATTCAGAAAATCAATTCAATTATATTTAAAAAAAAAAAAAAAGGGAAACTTCCCTCTTCCCAGGTCACCTGATTTTCCCAGATCTTCAAACTCTGCTAGAACCCACTAAAGTCTGCCCACTTACTGAAAGAAGCAGAAAACCAGTGATATCTTCTCAGTCCAATCTGCCAACTTTCCTGTTTTCTTTTGCAATATATAAAAAAAAAAAAGGCCCACAAGAATCTCTCCCTGCTTGTAAAGCACTCGGCAGGCTGCTCCAGCACAGCTCCTCCTGCTCCCTTGGCACCAGCCTCCTCGTGGCACTGCCTGGCCACGTCGTGTGAGCCTCTGCCAGGTCAAGAAGCTTTTTGCCAGCTCCCATTCACGGCATTTTCTTTTCAAATGTCACTGAGAGTATCCAAAAATATCCCAGCAAGGCAGGTGGGATCAGTTTTACACCGAAATCACCATTGCCTGGTGTAGCTCAGAAGACACATATTGCAAAATAAAGAACATTTCTAATCTTGGCAAGGACAATGTAACTGAGGACACTGCACACATGAGATTTCTGCGGCCTCTCTGGGTGCTGTGTGAGCTTGGATGAAACGTGCCCACGGCTGCTGGCTGTGATTAAGGCTTTCTGGCTTTCCACCTGCAACAACCAGGCTCCAAGGCAGACGGGGTGGCCGCTCCAGACTCTGAGCTCTGCCACTGCGAAGGATGGTATCGAGAAACAAAATCATCAGGCTGTGGGGTCCTCCCACAGTTCTGGCTCAGCACCGGGTTTTAATTTTAAATAGAAATATATTAAATTACCAACAGGGTATAAAGCACTAATTTCCTTTTGCAGTCACAATGAGGTGTCACGCATACAGTGATGATAAAGCTAGCCTGTTATTTCAAGCATCAAGCCCTAACACACGTGCTTAAGCTTTAATGGATACCTCCAAATTCCTAACAGAATTTTTCCTACTAGCCAGTTAAAATATAATGTATTCCCTTAGAGAACAGCACTGGGTAAAGTAATAATAAAGGCAGTGATTTCTTTTCAACAATCCTATTTATTTGGGGATTTTAACTTGTGGATTCCACAGTATAAAGTTCTTAAGCGGCCATCCCTTGGTACCAGGTTCCCAGTCACAGAAACCAAATCACTGCATGCAGAGCTCCTTTTTCCTACACAAAAGGTGTGCAGACACTAAAATAAAGTCTCATTTTTTATGAGAGGCTGATTAACTTCTAGGAATTTAAAGAGCCATGTCACAGAAAAGGGGACATGGCTAGTTCCCGTGAAGGGAATGGTCACTGCTCGATACTGGAACATACATGTAGTTACAACTCAGTTAATTTAAGCCCCTTCACGTACATCCTTGATTCTGGTGCTGGATTTACTGGTATATTCACTAAGCCTCAAACAGCAGGATAAATGCAATGCTCAATAGGTGGATCTGAAGCTATATCAGTAAGCAATGAAGGTTTTGGATAGGCAACCACAGGAAAGGCATTACAGTGTTCTCAGAAATGCAACTGCGCCAAAATTTCATCTTGATGTTATTTATTCTCTGTGACATTTTCTCTGTCTTCAAAGAGAGATTGCCAAAAGCCAGTGCTGCAAGCTGAGCCTGGCGCTAGAAATCAGGCTCCTCACTTGTACAACCAGAGCTGGGTGGGAAAGTTTTCTCATCCTGTGAAACTTTTCAAGGTCTCAAAGCACTTCCCACCAACAGGTTGGTGTTGACAGGGCTCACCCCCAAACAGGTTCAAACCCCGTTCCTTCTCCCCTGTATTAGGTGAACACCTTTAATACCTGGCCACTAATGCACTGGGGAAGGTCTCTTTCCAATTATTTCACTTTATATACTTTATTAATTGCTCGAGGATTCAACAAGAGGGATGGATTAGCATCTCCACTGCTTGGGATTCTCTTCTAAGATACAAGAGACCGTGTCCAGACCTTGCTCTGCATCTGAAACGGCCACTCCATAAGCTAGTTGTAATTCTAGGGTGTTACTACTCTCTCCTCCTTTTGTTTGGCTGGACAAGTCAAGAAGTACATCCAAGGAAAAAAAAAAAAAAAACCCGAAACAACTCATATAGCCTGGAAATGAACTTTTCATTGAAAAAGGTGTGCTCTCAATAAAAGCTTCATTTTCTTTAAGCTGAACTACTTTACTTTAAAAAAAACTGCTTGGAAAAGTTCCAACCATCTCTCATCATAAACAAAATCCTTGAATTAAACATTTAATTTTGTCTAGAAACTGTGTTACAATAAATGAAATCACCAGGGAACAGCATGCTCTTCCAAAGGTATGGGCATGCCTGGATGTTGTGACCAGTAAACATTTATTTTTGTCTGACACAATTTAAGACATAATTTTTTAATCATAGTTTCAATCTGAACTTTTGTCATCACATAGCACTAAACACTACAAACACTAATTTGGACTTCCAAAACTTTTAGACTTTTATTTCTGCTATCAGGTTTGTTAAATCATATTTACAAAGTTGGAAGCTGAAAAATTCCTTCCTTTAAAGTTTGATTAAATTTAAATCACTGGATTGCAAACATTAAGTATACAACACCTATAAGCAACCACAACGCAAGTGGATTACAAAGAAGGATGGGAAAAGTAACACCTAGATCAAGAGAACTGTTGAAAATACCTGTTTGTGTCTTTTTTGTAAGGGCTGAGAACACAATTTCGACAAGTTGAATGACTCCATGCTGAGAAACCAAGGCATTATGTTGTTTATATTAAATATCAAATGCCAGAAGTTACAAACCTGTATAATTTCCTTTCTTGCTTGAAAGGAGCTTCAAAATAATTCACACTTGTATGACGCATATTTTACTTCCAATGATTACCTCCTCTCCTAAAATGACTTGGAGAGTCGAGCTGGCTATACACCAAATAAGTGCATTTATCATGAGCTTTTTGGTAGCCATTTTTTTTAAACATTAATTATGTGTTGTAAGGCTTGAGAAACACCAGATGCAGCGCAGGCAGAGCACTGTCTGTAACAGACCATGGCCAATGTCCAAACACGACCCCATACTCTCCTGAAGTGGGGTCAGGAAGCACCAAAACTCTCATTTACTCAGAAATGACACAAACTTCATCTTCTTAACTGCCAAAGCAGAATTATGAAAGACATTATTCATATTCTCTTTAGGTGTTAAATCCGATAGGTCTTCAAGGAGTCTCTTCTCCCAACCCTTCATCACCAGCAATCCTACTCTCTCCTTTCTGCCACAACCACTTCCCATTTCTTCCTTCCTCCAGCCTCACATAACCTTCACCTTCCTACCAGCCTTCCTGCTGTCCTTCTGTTTGGGTTAACTCCTCCACCCACCCCTTTCTTGGATGCAGGACTTGGCAACCGTGTCCCATTCTGACATGCAAATGCTACACACCTTTCTGTCAGCTCTCCTCCCCACACCATGATGCTCTTCTAAACCACAGCCATGCAAACCGTGCTCCAGATCTCCAAGGCCAAGCTACTGATTTCACCTGGCTTGGGCTCAGCTGAGCAGATACAGAAGAATTCCATGAAATCAGAAAAAAAAAAAGAGATTTCCTCATATAGGTCAGGACCTAGCAGAACAGCTGCTGGAAGAAAAAGGAAGATGTGTGTGTGTGTGTTAAAAGCAAAACCAGCTATTCCAAGGATAACAGAAAACACCAGCAGAAGAGGAGGGGAAGAGCTGCCTGAATGCAGCAGGAGGAAGAGGCTAGAGAGGGTACGGTAGGGAAGAAAATGAGGCACAAAAGAGATTGTGTATCATGTATAAAGTACAGAGGGAGAGAAGAGACTGAACTGTGAAAGGGGGAAAAGAAGAGAGAGAGAAGGGGGAGAAAATGACATGTCAGGAGAGGCAGGAGATAACAGTAATGTGAGAAAGGCTGGAAGGACAGCGTGAACATCAAAGGAGAAAGAGGGGCTGAAGATGGCTCAAGGGAAATAAGTTATTTTTACTTAATAGGACAGCCAATTTTAAGCAGTTCTCCAGCACTATTTGTGAACAAGAATACCCTCCATTTAAGAAGCATTCCTTTGACCTCACGCCTCTGGTGTGATTTGTCTCGGTTTCTGTAAGCGTGCCGTGCAAGGAGGCCGTTCTGCCAACCCCCCTGAAAGGACTAACCCCACAGACCCCAGCTCGCAGCAACACCCCAGTTCCTCCAGCGCTCTTGAAGGGCTGCAACGATGTATTTTAACCGTATTCCTGCACGTAATAAGATCTATCTCGTTTTGACCCATACGAAAGAGCTTCCAATAAATTCACTGTGGTGTTTTTACCCGCCAAAACGCTGTTTGCCAGGCATAATGTTGGTTGTAATACTGCAAACGGAAATCAGCACTGCTGTATTTTATCCACTGCACACGACTGTGCGTGTACGCGGTGACCCAGTTTACTGGGAACGTTCATTCCTTTTACATAGCCGCGTGTGCCAGTAAATGCCCTCTGAAA